AGTACACCATTTACCTCTGACTTATGTTTACTGCCAACCTAAAAGTACCTCAAAAATAGTAATCAATAATGTATTGAAAAGTTATTTGGCTGATTGTTTTATATTGGCTCAGCCAGGTTATATGGGATGCCCAGTCTACGTACAGATGGGTCACTCATTTTGAAATATTAAACTTAGTTTTCTTTTCTAACATTTTAAATTTTTCATCCTCATGTAGAATGCTATTATGAAACACACATTTGGTTGTTTATAGCATAAAGAACATCTGATTTAATGTGAGGTAGGGAAATAATCATTTGAGTATAAGTATGTGTATATAAATATGTAATTTACAACAGCTGTAAGATGCTTGAAAAGCTTGAAAATGCACCTTGAAAATGCTTGAAAAGTGCTTGAATTTGACTTTGGAAAAGGTGTAAGAACCCTGCATTTTAGAAAATCTAAAGTGTGGCATATGACTGCAAGTCTGAATGGTGGGGTCTGTAACCACTGCCAGTCTGAATGGTGGGGTCTGTAACCACTGCCAGTCTGAATGGTGGGGTCTGTAACCACTGCAAGAAGTTTATTTCTGGGAAAGGTGGCAATACATCCAACCTCCAACCAATGCTGTCTCGTATGGCAACCAAGTACCTTTGTGTTCAGGGAAGCAGCGTGCCAAGCGAGAGAGTGTTCAGTTCAGCAGGTGATATCCTACGCTGTGAAAGGGCCCGTTTGGATCCAGAGAGCAGATATGCTCATCTTCTTGAAGATGAATGCACAAAACTGAACTGTGATGGGATTAGTTTTCTTTCATCAGGCAAATGTTGATTTTAATGATGCTATTTTTTTTATGTGCAATGCCGAGATCTCATGATCCTTTATGTGTTCTCTGGTCAGTCGAATCTCAGGTTGAATATTGATTATACTGGTGCCATTCTCTTTTTCCATTGACAAGATGTGCTATTCACGCCTGATGGTTGATATAAATGATATTGCAGAATCAGTTTTCTTCATAGATAACGTGTTTTTCATTGTTTGTTCAGTACTAAAAGGTCCAAGTCTCACAATTGAATTTAATATTCATTTGACATGTTAACTACATCATAAAGCGCTTCATGGGAGTAATTGCGGGATGATTCAATTGTTCCCTTATGCAACATGAAAGTATCACGATATGTATCGGTTGAGTATCGGTATCGTTCATTGGTATCGGTATCGGTATCGTAAAAAAGTAACGATATGCAACCCTAGTTTCTACAATAGAAAAATAACAGATTTAAAGTGGACCTATCATGCTATATTTGAATAATATAGTGTAGGACCATACCTATATAAGGCATATTTATACTTTTTTTTTTTCAAAATACCAAACAGATCATGCATTTTAGCCATGCCTCATTTTGCTCAATTTGACAATTTCTAGCTCTGATTCAGTGAGAACAGCACCATCTACAGGCCTGGCATATGTACTACAGCGTCTCCAGCGCTTTCGAACGGCAATGGCCGTGGCTGTCTCCTCCTGATTGGTGGAGTTGGCCCAATAGCCGTAGCGCCACAGTCCTGACGTCAGGACAGTGTTCAAATCTGGATCAGTTTTTATCAGATCCGTTGCAGCCCCTTTTTTAGAGATTTGGGTATGGAGGAAAATAGAGAGGGTTGTGTTTTCTGACACTTGGTGAGTTCCCTGGAACACCGGGGACACATATTCATGTATAAAAGACGTACAAAAGTGCATTTTGCATGATAGGTCCCCTTTAAATAAAAAATAAAAATCTTGCCTTCGCATTTAAATTGTATTTATAAAACTATTCAGGTCGCTTTCTGAATACCTCAATAAGCCTTTAATAAGGTAGGGGTGTCAAACTCAAATACACAGTGGGCCAAAATAAAAAATGGGTACTAGTCGAGGGCCGGACTGGTTCAATGTTTATTGCAAAACTTATTGAAATGAATTTATTGCACATATTAAACCTGGAACTAACAAAGCTTAAATCATTGCCTATAAAAACAACATTAAACATTAAATAATCAGTTGCATTCATTTCTTATGGCTCTATCTGCAGCTTTTCCAGAGTCATTTCTTATGATTACATTTTTCCACAGGCCAACAACAGCTTAAAAAAAACAATTTCCCTCAAAAACCAAACATGCCCTGTTGTCGCAAGAAAGAAAGTGCAGAAGGAAACATCTATTGGGAGGCGTGTGGTGCAGTGGGTTGTGCGTTTGTGTTCGGATCAGGGGGTCACAGGTTCAAACCCCACTGCAGTCAGCATGTCGTTGTGTCCCTGAGACACTTCACCCCAAATTGCTCCTGTGGGGATTGCCCACAGTATTGAGTATGTAAGTCGCTTTGGATAAAAGTGTCTAACAAGTGACATGTAATTTAAAGGGGACCTATCATGCAAAATGCACTTTTGTACGTCTTTTATACATGAATATGTGTCCCCGGTGTTCCAGGGAACTCACCAAGTGTCAGAAAACACAACCCTCTCTATTTTCCTCCATACCCAAATCTCTAAAAAAGGGGCTGCAACGGATCCAGATTTGAACACGTTACTGACGTCAGGAAAGTGGCGCTACGGCTATTGGGCCAACTCTCCACCTATCAGGGGAATGTGGGGTTGGCCATTGCCGCTCGAAAGCACTGGAGACGCTGTAGTACATATGCCAGGCCTGTAAGTGGCGCTGTAGTCTGCCACAAAAGCAGCGAAGAAGACTTCCTGCGCATGGTTACCATGGTTACCCTTCTGTTTATTCTCCGCTGTGGCTTTTTTTCTCCCTCCCCGAGGCAAGCGTTTGCTCCCGCTGCAATGCAATCCCTCCCTGTCGAGGCAAGCACTGTAATTCTCTCCGGTTAGTCCACCAGCAGATGACAAACACCCACCTCTCCGCCTCTTCCAAGGAACGAGGGGACCGTGCGGCAGAGTTTCAGTTTCAGTTTGTTTCGCCGGTCAAGATGTCCGTTAAAGTTCAAATCTTCCAGACAAAATTAGAAAAGTGCCGGTCAAAGGTCTTCTTTGTTATTTATTGAGCTTTAAAACAAATGAATAACGACTCTATATAATAAAACACGAAGGACGGAGATCTCTTTTTCTCCCCCTCTTCTGACAGCCCAGCAGCTGATCAGAGCACGTCTCCCCTCTCCTGCAGGGGGGCGTGGTCAGCAGAATCAGACCCGTAGACAGCAAACAGCACATAGAGCGAAATGAGGCATGGCTAAAATGCATGATCTGTTTGGTATTTTGAAAACAGAAACGTATAAATATACCTTATATAGGTATGGCCCTACAATATATCATTTAAATATAGCATGATAGGTCCACTTTAAAGGACAGAAACAACTTTGTTTCTATAGGTAAATAACTAGGGCTGTCAAGTTAATGCGTTAATTACAAATTAAAAATTGACGCCACTAATTATTTCAACGAGATTAACGCATGTGTATTTTTTGTCCTCGGCCGCCCCGTAGTTTCAGAGCACATCGAGTTTAAAATACCATCTACAAGCTGATGCTGACAGCCCCGCTCCTGCCGCCCGCTTGCGGCAGACCACACTTCCACGCTCCCCGGCAGGCCCGGACTGGCCATCGGGAGGACCGGGAGGGCGTGTGTATGTGTGGCGCGAGAGAGAGACAACGTGCACACCTTACGTGTATTGTTGTTGTTAGCATCTGGTACTAGCTAGCTGCGCTAACGGATATAAGGAGCTGTTTCAATGAAAACAGAGGAGCGACATTTCGCCGAGAACTGCGCCGAGCACTTGACTTTATGCAGGTGGCCAGACATTGTACGAAAAGTCAGCACACTCAGCACGGATAGTGCACGCAACATGATGCAGCGTCCAGGCAGCTCCCGTTCGAGCATATGCCTTGAGTTGCACATAGCTCCAACGATCCATCACAGTGTCTCTCACACACACACACACACACACACACACACACACACACACACACACACACACACACACACACACACACACACACACTTTGTATTGTATTATTGTATCTGAGAGATTCCAGGTTGAATTGAGGCGAATATTTGTAATGTTCAGAGGATGTTGTGTTTAATATTCATGAGAATATTTGCCATTGTTCAAATGATAATAAACAAACATTTGCATAAAGCATATTTCTCCACTCATATGTTGATAAGAGTGTTAAAAACTTGAAAGGTAACTTTAGAACAGACAAAAAATGTGCGATTAATCACGATTAACTATGGACAATCATGTGATTAATCACGATTACATATTTTAATCGACTGACAGCCCTAGTAAATACACATCTGAGTTGACAAATATGACATGTGGGGTTCCTCAAGGCTCCATCTTGGGGCCTCTTCTCTTTAACATCTACATGCTACCACTGGCTCAGATAATGAGAAACAACAAAATAAGTTACCATAGCTATGCGGATGACACACAAATTTACAACCATTTCCCCTGGTGCCCCTCTCATGAAACAACCGGCCCCAGCCTGGCCCCCCCAGTAAAATAATTCTAGAACCGCCACTGCTTAAAGCAATATAAATCTTCCAACAAATAAGTTGACTACCTCAGCATCTTTTTTAGACGTATTTTAAGATGTTTAATAATATTATTATTAAACATCTTAAAATTATTATTATACTTCATCCTGATCAAGATCCCTCCGCTTCGCGTCGGGCTCCTGATCAGCCTGTCGGGTGTTCTTTTCCCCATAATGACCACCTCGCTGCACATTATGCCTTACATAATAACCTGGTGAGCTGGTTGTTCTAGCATTAGCATGTAACTGATTACATGTAGAGTCAATACAAAGACACACATTTGTATCTAGTAACATGAAGTAACATTCATATCCCCCGTGTATTCACGCAACTTGAAAAGTTACAACTTGAGTGTGAAGTTTGTGACGCTCTGTTACAAAAACCTGTCAGTGTTGAGATTCTGCTCCTGTGGTCACTGACATGCTGAGATAAATCAGAAGAGGGAACATCAGCACCCAGAGCTCTACAGCACCTCATATTAAATCAGGGTTATTCATGTACCTGTATAAACCAGAGACTGTCTGTGGTGCTAACAATATAATAGCTGCTGTTCTGATGACTGGATGGAGTTATTTTGATTGTTGATGGAACAGCTACAACGTTAGCCTAGCCTAGCTTTAATCAAACAGATCTCCATTCAGAAAACTAACATTTTAAAGTGTTTTGCTTGTTGTGTTGGAGACAGACCTCACAAAGCATTAACTCAGGGTTTTTACAAATCACTATCATTACGTTGTTATTTCGGCATCCTTTCCATATGTTTATTGAAATTAATTCACAGAAAAATTCCCTGTTAATTTGGTTCAAAGTGCTAAAGTGTACCAGATTAATACAGCTGATGTTATGAATCCAGACCCAAAGCTGTGTGGTTTCATAAGTATATGAATAACTAACCACTATCTACCTTATCATGATGAAATATCATCTAGAGATGCAGACTTTTTTTTAAATACCAAACTAGAATTTGCCACATTATTGTACCTTTGGTGAGAATCAGCTCCACTAATGTAAAGTGCTATAAAGGATGTGTTCATCTCCACAGAGGGAAGAGGAAGAGTGGTGTTCCTGTGGAGGAGCAGCTGTCCAGCTGTGCTCTGTGTCAGGACGTCCTGAAGGATCCAGTCTCTACCAGCTGTGGACACTGGTTCTGCAGACAGTGCATCGCCTCATACTGGGAGCAGAGACCTCCATCAGGAGACCCCTCCTGTCCTCAGTGTGGAGAAAGATGCAGCATTGTACAAAGTAAGAGGCCGAACACGTTCAGCATCTTTACCGCTGTCTGGGTGCTGGGTGTCTACTCTTCTGTAGAAACACTGTATGATCTGATCTCTTCTTCAAGGCTTTGATTTTAAAGTGTGTACCCAAATATTTCACGTGGGACAGCAGTGTTTCCCTTAAAAAACGCTTTCTGTCTTACTCAGACATTACTACATTAGCCCAGCACTTATATAACATTTACATAAGATTGTAAAAATATCTGCCAGCTAGTATTTGGTGGTTCCTTCTGGAGTCTTCATGTCAAGGATTTTTCATTTTTATGTTTAGCGTTGTGTTGTGAAATGTAGACATTAAGATGTTGTACAAAAAATCATGACATTTTAAACCTTGACTCTATTGATCTGTTTTATTGTTATCATCAGATTCTCAAAAGCATTTTCTGATTCTCTCATGTTTCCTTCTCTTTCAGCAGAACGTGGTCTGCAGGAGGTTTTTGATGAACATAGGCTCAGTCTGAGGAGGAGATGTGAACGTGTGACTGAAGGAACTGATCAAAGTGAAACCCTCCTCAACAGGATCTTCACTGAGCTCTACATCACACAAGGCCAGAGTGAAGAGGTTAATACCCAGCATGAGGTGAGGCAGCTGGAGACAGCTTCCAAGAAAGAGACCCTCCATGACACTCCAATCAAGTGCCAGGACATCTTTAAAGCCTTACCTGACCAACAGACTCTCATCAGAGCGGTCCTGACCAACGGAGTCGCTGGAGTTGGAAAAACCTTCTCAGTGCAGAAGTTCACTCTGGACTGGGCCGAGGGTTTGGGAAACCAAGATGTCAGTCTGGTGATCCCGCTCTCCTTCAGGGAGCTGAACCTGATCAAAGGTGAGCAGTACAGTCTTCTCAGGCTGCTCCATGTTTTCCATCCAACCTTACAGAAGGTCACAGCAGAGCAGCTGGCTGTCTGCAAAGTGCTGCTCATCTTTGACGGCCTGGATGAAAGCAGACTCTCTCTGGACTTCAGAAACAATGAGGTTGTGTCTGATGTCTCACAGCAGTCCTCAGTCAACGTGCTGCTGACAAACCTCATCAGGGGGAAGCTGCTTCCCTCGGCTCTCGTCTGGATAACTTCCAGACCTGCAGCAGCCAATCAGATCCCTCCTGAGTGTGTGGACAGGGTAACAGAAGTACGAGGCTTCACTGACGCCCAGAAGGAGGAGTACTTCAGGAGGAGATGGAGTGATGAAGACCTGTCCAGCAGAATCATCTCTCACATCAAGAGCTCCAGGAGCCTCCACATCATGTGTCTGATCCCAGTCTTCTGCTGGATCACTGCTACAGTTCTGGACCACATGTTGACTACAGACCAGAGAGGAGAGCTGCCACAGACCCTCACTGACATGTACTCACACTTCCTGCTGGTCCTGACCAAGAGGAAGAAGCAGAAGTATGAAGAGGGACATGAGACGAGTCCACAGCAGCTGACGAAGGCTGACAGGGAGCTTCTTCTGAAGCTGGGGAGGCTGGCGTTTGAACCTCTGGAGAACGGACACATCATGTTCTACCAAGAAGACCTGCAGCGCTGTGGTCTTGGTGTAACTGAGGCCTTGGTGCACACAGGAGTTTGTCTAGACATATTTAAAAGAGAGAGTGTGAACTTTGAGAAAACAGTCTACTGCTTTGTTCATCTGAGCATTCAGGAGTTTCTGGCTGCAGTCTACATGTTGCACTGTTACACCAACAGAGACACAGCGGTACTGAAGGACTTCCTGCAGGGAGACTATAGCAACAGGTATAACAGAGATCAGGATTACCCATCCCTGGATGTCTTCCTAAAGAGCGCCATGGAGAAATCCCTCAGATGTAGAAATGGCCATCTGGACCTGTTTGTCCGCTTTCTCCACGGCCTCTCTCTGGAGTCCAACCAGAGACTGTTAGGAGGCCAGCTGGGTCGCACAGACAACAGTCCAGGAATTATCCAGAGAGCCATCAGCAACCTGAAGGAGATGAGAAGTGATAACATCTCTCCTGACAGGAGCATCAACATCTTCCACTGTCTGACAGAGATGAAGGACTACTCAGTACATCAGGAGATCACAGAGTTCCTGAAGTCAGAGAACAGATCAGAGAAGCAACTCTCTGTGATCCACTGCTCTGCTCTGGCCTACATGCTGCAGATGTCAGAGGAGGTTCTGGATGAGTTGGACCTGGATCAGTACAACACATCAGATGAGGGACGACAGAGACTGATTCCAGCTGTGAGGAACTGCAGGAAGGCCAAGTAAGTCCAGATGTGATTAACTTTATAAACTAATGTGGACCAGAAGTTACGTTTTTCAAATAAACACTATCAAATATTTAATGTTTTAATACTTTGAGAGCGTAATTCAATTATTCTATTTATTTATAATAATGTGACATTTTAAGGTTTTTTCTCCTGTTCATATTCCTTTGAGTGATGGAGGCGACATGTCAAACTAATGAAGGACTTTAGAGGTTTTATCACAGCAGCATGTGATCACAACATACAGCAGTATTTACAATTATCAGTGAATGCAGTTAAGTTATTAATATATCATTGCATTTTCTTCAACATTAAATCAGATCTGTTTTTACCACAATGCTTAAAGGTGGGGTAGGTAATTTTGGAGAAACCAGCTCGAGTGCGCTAGAATTTGAAAATACACAACCGGAAAAAATCTGCCACTTCCTCACAGAGCCCCTCCTCCAACACACACAAACGCGCACATGACCAATGAGGGCACGAGATAAGCTTGTGCACAGATGGAAGGCTGACAGGCAGGTAGGCCATCCAGTTATTTTAGCCGGGCCGGCTAAAATGATTGGCGTGCTTTTTACAGTACTACAGCTTCCACAGAACACTTAATTAAAACATTTAATATATTCATTGCTATCGGGATGTTAAGAGCATTCCATGGAATATAACAAAAAGTGTTTCTGAAATAAATTGCATACCCCACCTTTAAGAGTTTAAAATAAGATCTATTATTAAATTAAACTGACATGATATGTTAAAAGTTGTTCCATCAAATTCAGTATTTTAATAAAATGTTTCCTCTGTTTTTATACTAACACCTGTTGTAATGTATGTGTTATTATAGACTTTCTCACTGTGGACTCTCAGAGACTGAATGTGAAGTCGTGGCCTCAGCTCTGAAGTCTGACCCCTCCCATCTGAGAGATCTGGACCTGAGTAACAACAGGCTGCAGGATTCAGATGTGGAGCTGCTGAGTTCTGGACTAAAGAGTCCAAACTGCAGACTGGAGGCTCTCAGGTCAGTTTGCTGACTGCAGTTCATACAGATCTGTTTGTATTTATCACTTTCTGAATTTGCCTGAGAAAGAATACATTGGTATCATGTTCTTCCCTCTCTTGCTAATGGCTGAATATTCAGCAGAATATCAAAGAGAGTGTTTGAGCTTCCACAGACTCACTCTGTGCTCCATGAGTCAGTGAAGATGCTCTGACGCTGTGAGGGAGATGAAGGAGTTGTTAAAGATCTGATCAAAGTTTGCTGACGTTAAAACATTGTTCAGCTCTGATCAGATTATTAAACCTTGAATTATTTCAAACAGGAACATTGTTTTCTAAAGTTACATCATGTTTTCTTTATTCAGTCTGAGGCGCTGTTGGTTGTCAGAGATCAGCTGTTCTGCTCTGGTCTCAGCTCTGAAGTCCAACATCCATCTGAGAGATCTGGACCTGAGAGACAACGATCTGCAGGATTCAGGAGTGGAGCTGCTGAGAGATCTTCTGGAGAGTCCAGACTGCAGACTGGAGACTCTCAGGTCAGTAAGGGGTCGACTCAGTCTCTGTTGGTTCAGCAGTATTGCATTAAACACAGGGAGGCAGTGTTGTAGTCAAGTCACCAATTCACTACTTTTCGAGTCTGAGTCCAAGTCCGAGTCACAAGTCCAACAGCCAACAAGTGAATGTATAAATTATATCAATAAAGATTAAGCCCCAGAAAGCACATGGCTACTTAGCATGCAGAATGTCTCATTTTGCATGCTTCGTGTTATCGTCTGAATCTTTATTTATTGATTTGATCACATTACTCTGATGATAGTGTTCAAGACAGCCTATGGGTGTTTCTCAATCGCGAGTAAAGCTGCTTCAGAGCCACTATTTCAAGCATACTACGTCATCGAGTGCCGCCGAAGTACTGTTCCAATCTCCAGCATACTTGGAAATCTACCGAGCCCGGCGTACTCCGTTTGGAGAAATATCGAGGCTGCACATGAGTAGACTCCGCGGTCTTAAAATCCCCACAATGCTTTGCGCACGGACCAATTTCCCCAAATCTGTGGCGGAAGATGTAAGGCGGGGCCTCTCATATGACGCACACCTGCACACTTGCTAGCGTGTTCCACTCTTTGTTTTCCGAATGGCAGGAAGTATTCTTGACTCGCTTCTGAAGCAAGATGCTCGGCAGACATGTGCTACCAAGCAAGCGTACTGAGAAACACCCTATATGTCTCAACTCGATATTTTTTCCACATAACAAGCATTTTGCGCTGCTCTTTCCCAATGTGGAAGCAGAATGTGTGAAAGCATAGAGCAGGGGTACTCAAATACAAATCTTAAAGGTCCAAAAAAAATGTTTCAATAAGACAAAGGTCCGTTTATTACGGTCATTCAAACTTTTAAACAATTGCAACAAGATTCTTAACACGAGGTTGCAAAAACAAAAATAATCTGTATGCAGCAGTTTTCATTGTTATTGTGTCTGTGCTTGATCCCTCAGAGTCGCAGTGTGAGCTGCACAGTTATGAATAAAGGCAGCTGCACCCTCTTTCATTCAGCATTCCCATTATTGCTTTATAAATGTCTTGCCCCCTTGTGTGTCCGCTGAGGTTCGTCAGGCCCAACACATCTTCAACAAACTCCCCCTTTGCCTCATCATAAAAACTCACAAACACCAGCAATTGAGCATTGTTAGTGGTGTCAGTGGACTCATCCACAGCTAAGGAAATGCACTGTGCATTTTTTATTCCATCACAAAGCTGATTAATCAAATCACCAGCCAGTATTTATGTTCTTCTGGTTGCTGTGGAATCTGAGAGGGGGATTTGCTTGATTTGACCTATTATTTCCTCTTTTTGTTTGCCTTCAAACATGGTCTCCATCACTTCAGTCATGCATTCTTTTATACTTCAGTAATTATCCCTTACCTGCTGGCCTAGTTCAATCAAAGTGGTTACTTTTTTTTGGCTGGGCAGTGTAGTTTTACACACTGTTATTTGACTTTCTCAGGACTTAAAACAGTTTTTTGGAGGCACAAAGAAACACAAAGAAAAAAATATATTTACACACGTAAGGTCATCATCTTAACAGTTTTGTATGCTCATCGAGTCATCCGTGAGCAGAGCATCAAGTTGACATGCCTATAACAGCTGAATGCGGCGATTACCATCTTGTTCAGCAAAACGCCTCACAAACGTATTAACATCCAAAGCTTTAGTGCGTTTTGATTCAATGCTGAGCACAGCCAAACTGACAGTCTCTTCTCTGTCATTGTAGACCGCAAATACCTCATTCCTTCAGTACTTGGGTCCGAATGCTTCTCGTTTTGCGCCGTCCCGTTCAAATGAAATCGCCGCCAATCATATTTCCACGCTCGCGCCAGGCCCGGGGGAGGGGTTACAAGGCTCGCGTCTTGTGCTGCATTCACTTGCACTCGGACATTAGAGACTTTCTCTCATAAATGTCAGATGAGCCACAACTTTTCTTTCAAAACAAAGCTGCCAACTGGGGTGGCAGCTGGGGTGGCAAGGCCTATTTTTAGGGTGGCAGTTGCCACCCTATGCCACCCCGGTAGGTGAAACTAGGCTACTAGCTACAGTACAGATGCAATTAGATGAGCTGTTAACTCTCGCTCTGACTTTTTTTTTTTTAAACTCTCGCTCTGACTCAGACAGGTTGAAAGAGACGACACACGCATTTTTCCCACCCGCATTCCGCGAAGACCCGCCCTACTGTGCCTCTGATTCGCAGACTGTTGGTGGGGGAAAAAAACGCTGACGGGATGCTGAATGTGATTGGACCAATGCGTTGACAGACACACACAGACAGCGGAACAGTCGTACATGCAGAGCGCTGTATGCAGAGCGCTGTATGCAGAGCGCTGTATGCAGCGGACATAGCGGAGAATTTTGACTCGTGGCGATGTCTCACAGATAACACAGATAACACAGATAATACAGATAATATGAAAAGTATAATTTGCTCAGAGTCCAGAGACAGTTGTGGTTCGGTCCGGATCCGGACTGGAGTCCGGACTTTGAGGATGCCTGGCATAGAGCATGATGCGGGGTGTGTCCCTGGACATCTTTAGACTGGAACAACGGGGGCGCGCCCAGTACCTGAACTCACCTCCAGGTGCACACGCCATGACAGAGTGCATCTGACTCCAGACAAAAACTTCCTCGAATCCGAGTCCAAGTCAGAGCGTCAATGTACAAGTCGAGTCTGAGTGGGCGAAAAATTCACGAGTCAGTCATCGTGCGCGAGAATTCACAAGTGCTGATTTTCGGGACTCGAGTACTCCATCTCTGGAGGGAGATGTTTCTCACACGGGAGAATCACAACAGATCTTTCTCTCTTTTTTTATTCTTACACCAACAATATATTGTAATTGCTGAAGATGCAAAGATACATTAAAAATCTCCTATTATGCTATTTTTAGGCATATATTGTGGGTCTCAGATATATAAAAATATATTAAAAACATGTCTATGATGTGTTTTGCTTAAAATACCAAACAGATCATGCATTTTAGACATGCCTCATATCCCTCTGTTTCAGCCCTGTTAGAGAACTGCAGGTCCTAAGCTTAAACAAAAGAGAAGGTTGAGCTAATGCCTGCTCAGAATTACATGGCAGATTCCAAGCTAAATGCTCCCGTGATTAAATGCCATCATGTTCCAAACCACATCAAGGATTATTTCTGAAACAGTATGGAGCTCAAATGCTTCTTCTCTTGCGGGTTTACCACAAGGTGAGTTCCTTTTTTATTTCCTGCTTCTTTACACATACTCTCTCCAGTACAGGTTAGCTCTGAGTGTTAGCGATGCTTGCTAATGTAAACAAAGACCATATTACGTCCAAAACAGTCGGGCATTGTTTCTGATAGCAACGTTTGTGATAGGGCCGTGGGCGTAAAGCCCGCCCACATTTCAGATATTACGTCATATCGGACGCAAATCTGGATCAGCTCCGTTGTAGCCCCGTTTTTAGAGATTTGGGTACGGAGGAAATGAGAGAGGGTTTTGTTTTCTGACACTGCGTGAGTCTCCTGACACACCGGGGACACATATTGATGTTTTTAGTTTCTAGTTTCTAATGACTGGTTACTTCCTGTAATGCAGCTGAGAGCTGTGGCAGTCAGTCGTAGTGTTTGCAGAGAAGATATGATGGGATGTAAAGCATGAGATCAGTCAGGACTCTGAAGCTGACTCAAAGAACAAACACTTATTTTAAACTGGATCTAAAACTGTTGGATTGTGTTCATCCATACAGGATCAATGGTGAGACGATCAGAGCCAAGATCCAGAAGACCTGTGAGTACTGAAACCATATCGTCCATTCATCAAGATATTGTACATTACATCTGATCTTAAAAGGTCTTTATAGTACAACAACAACATATTTGAATTCCATCTTGTTACAGCTCTATTCAATCATTTTGGCTGTTAATGTTTCTCTTTGTTCAAGTTTAATTATTATTATTTTTTAACTGGGAATGTCTAGTTACTTTAATTTTTTTTTTATGTGATTGTTGGTTAACAAAAGTATTTTCCCTGTTTATCTTCCAGGTCCAAGACAGAAATTATCCCAGAGAAATGTCCCAGCAGAGAGCAGAGTCCCTTTGCTCGTCCCAGCAGAGGACAGAGTCCCTGCAGAGAGCAGAGTCCCAGCAGAGAGCAGAGTCCCAGCAGAGAGCAGAGTCCCTGCAGAGGACAGAGTCCCAGCAGAGAGCAGAGTCCCAGCAGAGAGCAGAGTCCCAGCAGAGAGCAGAGTCCCAGCAGAGAGCAGATTCCCTGCAGAGGACAGAGTCCCTTTGCTAGTCCCAGCAGAGAGCAGAGTCCCTGCAGAGGACAGAGTCCCAGCAGAGAGCAGAGTCCCAGCAGAGAGCAGAGTCCCAGCAGAGAGCAGATTCCCTGCAGAGGACAGAGTCCCTTTGCTAGTCCCAGCAGAGAGCAGAGTCCCTGCAGAGGACAGAGTCCCAGCAGAGAGCAGAGTCCCAGCAGAGAGCAGATTCCCTGCAGAGGACAGAGTCCCAGCAGAGAGCATAGTCCCAGCAGAGAGCAGAGTCCCAGCAGAGAGCAGAGTCCCAGCAGAGAGCAGATTCCCTGCAGAGGACAGAGTCCCTTTGCTAGTCCCAGCAGAGAGCAGAGTCCCTGCAGAGGACAGAGTCCCAGCAGACGAGTGGCTGCTCTCAGTTCGGAAAGAGTTTATTACAAGAGTGTCTCTATCTACCCTGAAGGACCTTCTGGATAAACTCCTTGAGTCTAAAGTGATCAGTGAATCTGAAATGGAGTCAGCCGGAAGCAAACCCCGAAATGACGGAGCAAGAGAGGTGGTGGACGTGGTGCGAAAAAAAGGAGTTAAACCCAGCAGGGTTCTGATCAAAGCTCTCCGAGAGCTGGACCCCCATCTTTACGAAGAGCTCGACAAGCAAAACCTCGTGGAGTGTGTGACAGCCCCTGCTAGTATTGCATGTTGCTGCTGTTAGGGAAATATTTTCCAACGCCCATAACTTTGACCCAGTTTATCAGTTTAAACTGACTGAGCCATTTTGAGAATTGTTTAACTTTTCCCTTTCAAATTTTGAAATGACATAATGATTGATAGTTTAAGTAATGTAATTATGTTATCATGCCATAGTCTTTTGATTTAATATTTAATGAAGCTAACGTAAATATAATCCTAAATTGAAGACACTGCAATTTTGCAGATTACAGATTGATTAGCTCACCCGTGTGAATTGTATACCTTATTTTAAATGCTTTGACTAGTGATTGTCTTAAAGTAAATCTTTAAGCTTTTGATTTTATAGTTTGATAAGTAAGATTAACTAATGATTAAATGTTAAAATATATTAGTTTAAAATGTTTGTGTTATTATGTGTCTGTGATTTTCATGTGTGTTCATTATTATGCTTTTAACAAAAGATGCTCCAAACACTGACGAGAGATGATTTTTCTATTAGGATTTGCTGTCTCAATCATTGTGATTGAATGTTTCAATCTTATTGTGTTGTTATTAATGTGATTGATATTGTGTAAGCCTACACTCAATTCCGAAGATTCTCATTTATTAGTGATTTGAACAAATGTATTATTGGGGTAAATCAAATCAAATCAAATCAGGTTTTATTTATATAGCACATTTAAAAGCGATTTTTGGTCGAGCCAAAGTGCTGTACATGTAATAAAAACACATTGGGGGTAGGTTGTGTTTATCAAAATTGATAAAAAGGGAGGAACTTTTGGGGAAATATTTTCCAAGGCCCATAACTTTGACCCAGTTTATCAGTTCATACTGTCCTGACTGAGCACACGCACCTGTAACCTGTTGAGATCTCCATATCAGGTTGAATAATTAAAACGAAAGTTAGTTATAATCAAATATAATCAATTATATTCTTGTATAACCCACAATGAAAATGTTTCATATGTTATGATTTTCTATATTTACAGTATAAACAAAGTGGTTTGTTAAATTGAGTGTGTAAGGCCTATAATGGTTTATGGGTGTCACTGATAAGAAAGAGGCAGTTTCTTCTCTCTCCCCTCACAGCAGTACACAGGGAGGGGGGCTCCTGACTTAAGGAGAAATACATTGAGGCCCCAAAAAAGTGGTTATGTCATAGCCGAGAATAATATTTTGCAAGTCCTGTAGAGTAGGGGTCATGTCCTTTTTACACAAACATGGGAAGGTGTGTCTTATGCCAGAGCCATAGAATATGTCTGGTCATGTCCAGTTCTTTACATCAGAGGCCATGCCCAGTTTCCACAAATATGGGTATGGAGGAGGTGTCTTTAGGTTTTTCTATCCTGTTTTCGAGCATAAAGACACTGGCAGATGGGGAGGACTTTTCTTTTTGGAGAGAGGGAGAGAGAGGGGGGGGGGATCCCCTGGTATGCTCTCTTTCTGTAACGCTCTCTCCCTGAGAGCTGGGTTTTTGCTCTCGGTAAGGTACTCTCAAACTTGGTAAATATCTCTCGAATTTCTTTGTTGAATGCTGAGTGAATTTCTTTGTGAAAGGATGTGGAATGAATTGATGTTTGTTGAAAGTTAGTACCCTGCCACCTATGAGGAAGGTCCTCTGAATTCATGCGGGACTAGTTGAAGTATACGAATGTGGAAATGAGAAAAATAACTGATTTGTTGAATGAAAGTTTGAATGTGCTTTTTATTATCACCGGTCTTTTATGAGGAAATGCCTCTAAATTATATCGGGAGATTTTAAAGGTCACAACTGAATTGGGCAGTTGAAGTTACAAATTATGGTAATAAATATAAAACTGTGAATTAAAGTTTTCATATTAGAACATGATCACAGCATGATAGGTTTAGTATGATTATAATGTTGTAACGAGAGAAGGTAAAAACCCTGTATTAGTTTGGACCTATTTTTCTTCAAATAAACTGATCCCACCTTTTGGATTGGGACAACTTAAAAGACATCTGAGCTCTCCTCTCCTGCTTGAAAGGTACGATTGCACACTGCCACACTCACACTTAGGTAGGGCCACATCTCATTTACTGATATCAAAATCCTTCGGGATCGCTTAAACAGATTTAGGGGTCGTCTGAATTGAAACAGCAGTTAATTGAACATGGTTCTTCGGGGAGTTAATAGAGGTGAGATCTTGCTGACGTTGGTGGATCTGAGCCAAGCAGTAAACTTACATAGACTCAATAACTTCGGTTAGGTCAATTAGTAGGTCTGAGTAATTTGCCGGAATAAATTATCAGGTCCTCTCCGACTCTTACAAACCTTGGCTGCTGTGCTCTCAGTGCTTTGTCTCCCTGTTCCTGCCTGTTGGCGTCAGCTGATAGAGGTGTTATGGTTCTATCTTGTTATGCACAATGTTGATTATTCTCTCAGAACTAGCTAAATACACGGGTCTGGGGGTAGAGATCTGCAGAATTGGTTTGGCATCTCTACCGTGTGGTCAGATTGTGGCTCACGACATGTCTTGTGAATTCTCCGGTCAAAGCTCCAAATAAACCGTCAGTGTTTGCCATCAAAGCTCCAGCTCTCCTCGTGTCTCTCTTACCTCATTCACACCAACGGTGTTTCAGGGCCGGTTCGGAGCTGGAGCTTGAAAAGCACCGGGTTTTCCTGTTCACACCGCAGCGGAGCAGCCTCTTAGCTCCGGAATCCGGTTAGTTTGAAGCACCAAAAAATTGTCCGGCTAGAGCAAAAGCACCGCATACGTCACGCTTACGTCGAGGCGGGGGCAGGGGCAGGGGGAATCAGAATCGTCGTTGAAGTTGATGATTACGATTGTAAAGTAGTTTTGAATGTAGCATGTAACGACTGTAAAGTTGGTAGTAAAGTCGTCCCATTTCTTCCATTTCGTTTCGACAGAGCAAAACCAAAACGAGTAGCGCTTCAACACAATCGGCCATTGTTGTTGTTGTCGTTGTGAGCTGTGAGGGGTTTCCGCGCGGTTTGGCTTTATGAAGCAGGCACGCAAATGGTTACGTCATGACGCAAACGATGACGCAATGACACAGCACCAGTCGGACTCTGGGCGGTGTGAAAAGAGCCGGAGCTAAAACCGAAGAACCGGTTTTGAACTTGAAAAGCTCTAGCACGGAGCTTGAACCGGAGTTGCGTTGGTGTGAAAGAGGTATCTGAGTCCTGACTCCAATTGCTTCAGAAGTTTCCCCCACAGCTACATGTAACTAGAGATGGGTGTCAGGTACTAAATTGTTACCGGTACCTGATTGGTCAGTTCTACTGATGTAGCAGCGCAGACCCTAAAGCCACCTTTTCATTGATTTATTTTATTATATACTTATTATACATTCATGGTAATGATACACGGGCAAGGCCAGGCAGGAAACATGTGACTTATCAGTAACTTTAGACATCGTAACACAATTTTAAACGAGATTTTATTGTAGATTATACATTTTACTGATACCAATTATATAATATTTACCTTGTTTATTAAAAATAAAAATAAAAAATATATTTTTTAAATATATATTTTTTTTCTTTTTAATGTGGGAAGAGGGGGGCGGCGCGGCGCCCCTAGCGCCCCTATGGGCTGGCCGCCACTGGGCTACTCTATACTGTATACTGCATATATGTATATATAGATATACCATTAATATTTGTTGTTGTTGTGTCATATTTTAACTCTTGCTTTGCCTTGTTAACATGCTGCTGTGAAAGCAAATCAAAATAAAGTAATAAGACGAAATAAGAGCCGCTGAATTGTACTCCTTAATTATATAGCTCGTATGTATTTTGTTCCAAAAATGCATACAAATACTTGCATATGTGTGGAAATAAACTGTAATATCATTATCTAAATTAAACAGCATGGGCAACAACAGACATTTTTCAGTCATATTGTTCAAATTCACTGCTTTTTCTCTCTTTTATAATCATTGTAATCCATAATTTTTTTGTAGATGTTACATTTGATCAATTTGACGACCATTTCTGTACCAGGAAAAATGTGAGAGTGAGAGGTCCCTCGGTATAGATGATCTTTGGTGAGACGGGAGCTGCTGTTACCTCCTCGTGGTCTTTCGCCCTCTGTCGGTCGCTTAGATCCCTCCATCCTAGTTTTATCTCCTTGTTGGACAACATTTGAAAATCCTCCAATCAGGACACATAACAAGACTGATGGCCAGACCATTTTTACTTGTCAAGTCAACATTAAAGGTCCCATGTCATGGCCATTTCTACTGATCATAATTCCATTGTTGAGGTATACTAGAATATATTTATATTGGGCAATTTTCCAAACTCTCATTGGTTTCTCATACAGCATCTCTGTATAGTATGTGTATTTACTCTCTGTCCTAAACGGCTTGTTGGAGCTCCTGCCCCCCCCTCCCTATGAGCCCAGTGGCCGTCTGCGAGACAGCGAGACACAGCAAAACCCAGCCCGAACATACACACACCCGCAGCCTGGCTGGGAGTTTGTGTGTGTGCTCACACACCGACTCACAGCCTCGCTGCGTCCCGCCGTCTCAGGGAGGAGAAATCGGCGGAGCTGCAGATGAGAAAAGATTGAGTGTGTGTGTGTGAGGAAGTCCGAGGATTGGTCCAAATGTAACGGCTCCACGGATTGGTCCTTTTGGACCAATGGGTCCATTTGGGTATGGGCACATCACTGTACCCAGGAAGAAAAAGAGAAATCTCCAACGAGGCGTTCTGGGGCAGCATAGACAGGTCTTTTCTGTGTTAGAGTTTTACTCGCTACAGGGTGTACTTTGAGGGTTTGTGACTCTGCAGACCGTTTACATGCATAAAAACCTTCATAATACACAAGGGGACCTGAAAAGCATGACATGGGACCTTTAAAACATTCAGTAAAGAAGTAATAATCAGCCCTCAAAGTTATTCAATTTGACTAAATATAAAAATATCTTTAAAGTAACAGCCCAGACAAGTCGATACAGATTTATTGAAATGTGAGTAGGGTTCCTATTTCATGTTGAAAGGTGTTCACCCCGTCTCATGTCTCATGTCTGCATTTGCTTCCTGTCTCTGTGTTGTCCCTCCTGTCTGATTGTCTGATTGGTTTCACCTGCTGCCCCTGTGTCTCAGCTTGTCAGCAATGTGTACAGTTGATGCTCAGTTCTTCACTTCTTTATACAGGTGGAAATGTGGAAATTGCTCTACAACGCCTGCTGAACCTGAGCATGTGTGCTATTGAGATACCACAGGTAACATTTTAGAGAGCGTAACTAAGTTGTCCGTTTAGAGAATATATATTTTTCACATGCCATGACATTCAATATTTGTTTATCACACTAGGTGTCAAGACAGATGCAGGGCTGAATATGAGCGACTATAGATGAGGCAAATACAGCACTGAGTGTTTTTGTTGTTGTATGAATTCATTTGTAAAACTTATGGTAATATTGTTCATGAAAATAAATACTGGTGTATTTTATGCAATCTTTCTTTTCATTCTGTCATTGTACATGGCGTTACTATATTATATTATTTACTACACGGCAATGGCACCCCATAGTGTTGACTAAACATGATCCACACACAACCTTCAGCATATCCCTCAGACATGAATAATCATGACACATTTTATACAAACTTCCAAAACTTTATCGGAAAAACAAACGGTTCACTGAACCCATAACAAAGTAACTTTACACAAGTGACATAGGCTTTTGACTAAATATCCTTTGGAATTCTTCCAGGCGTCACAGGTTTCTAGCCTACAGAAGTTTAGTGAGCTGGCCCAGGATCAGCGTAGTCATGCATCTGCGTTGTCCTCGGGGAGTTTCTTGATCCCAAAACGTCTGTGCCGGGTTCAGAATGCTGTCAAAATTGAACCGCGTAGCATATTTTGTGCTGACCTCCTCCCTGTCAGGTCCTCTGGGACGGGGATCTTCAGAACCTCCTCTGTGAATGGGGCGGGGTCAACAAAGACTTGATCAAAGATGAGGTCCATTAAGTCGTCAACGTAACCTGTGCAATATTTAAAAAAAAAAAATGTTTGGTTTAGATTGTTATATGCATGTGAAAAGACAGACTGAAAGTTATTTCTACATTTATATATTTTTTTGTGCCGTTTCTGCAATACATACTTCATTTGAAACTGTATGAATGTCAACATAACTGGCACCTTTAACAGTTGTATATGTTTACTTACTTTTTTAAATACAGCAACCTATTTATTTACCATATGTGTACATCTTTGATTTTTATTTACGTGTGCTTGTGCCCTATTTTCTATTAGGGCTGCACGATATATCGTGTCGTGACGATAATCGCGTTATGCGCATGCGCGATATTGACATCGCAGGACGTGCGATTTCTTTTTAATATAATTTCATTTTTTTCTTTTTAGGACGTGCGATATTAAGTAGGCAAATGAACTCAAACACGTCATGTTACAATTATTTTGCTGCTTGCTACAAAAGGAAAACTTGCACGGCTCTCATGTCAGGGGTACTTGAGTGATGCGGCTTTCACACCGGCGCTTTTCACTTTCTAGCTCCTCGCGAGAGCTTTTCTGGTTCAGCTCCCGTTTCCCTTTCCAGCTCCCGCTCTGTTCACACTGCCCAGAGCTGCCGCTGCTGCGTCATGACGTCACAGTTTACGTCGCTGATTTTCTCCCACAACAACAACGGGCCGGGGACTGCATCGGGTCGTGTTGCTTTTAATCATACGAAGCCAGATTAAATTAAATAACGACTTCTCCAACTTTATACTTTTCTCCAGAGTGCCGTGGTTCATTGTTTATTAATGTGTTTCAGCGGCATTTACCGACCGCTGCAGTGCTGGCTGCTCTTCCACGGGAGTTTATTGTCCCGTTAGCTCCGGGTTAGCTCACACGGCTCTAAAGTATTCACTGTCTGACTGTCACACAAGCAGCTGATACATATCCCCAGTTCCCCTTAAGTGAATGTGTGTCAGTCTGAATTGACGCTGTTTGGCATCACAACGCTGTTATGAAAGTTTCTCTGGTATAACATGGGTGATGTTAGCATAGCAACCGAAGCTAAACTGACTACTTGCTAAGCCGTTTTCTATAGGCACTTTTTACCGGCGTATTTTTCATTATGATTCTACTTCTGATAGTCGGACATGACAACCTGTATAGCCCATGTATCTCCACAATGATCAATAACAGCGAACGGATGGTCAAAGTAAGGTTTCCTGCACGCCTCGACGTAAGAGAGACGTAAGCGACGCCGCGTCATAGCTCCGAAGCTCTTGCCTCTGGACCGACAATTTTTTGGAGCTGGAAGTGAACCGCATTCCGGAGCTATGACGCGCCGCCGCTGCGGTGTGAACAGGAAAAACCGGCGCTTTTCAGGCTCTAGCTCTCAGCAGGAGCTGGAAAAGCGCCGGTGTGAAAGGGGTATCTGTGACATGCAGGCTCTGCATGCACAGCTAACCACCAATCACAATCATTCTTGATCAGATAACAGCAGGATAACCGAGCTAGCTCAGCTTGTTGCTCTGATAACTTAAGATCCAGAAGTCCGTGACTAAAATCCTTCATCCGGTTAAATATTTTTAAAATAAATACCAATTGTATAGCATTAAAGTTCAAGAAAGGATGGTTTGCGGACAAAAAAAACTGTCTTTTCTTCAATTCCTGTATTTTTTCATATCGCAATATATATCGCAGGGGAAGAAAATATCGCAATGTCCGTTTTTTCCAATATCGTGCAGCCCTATTCTCTATGCAAGTCTACTCATTTACATCCGCATTAATCTACCGTTGTTGTTGTAATGCTGTAGTTTGTTTTGAAATGTAAAATATCCAATCTAACGTGTACATTTTGTTGTGTAAATAGTTGTATAATAAATCATTTGAACACTTACAGAATGTGGGGTCAGTCTTTACAGCTTTTGCTCTGCACTCTCCCTCCCTGGCCTCTGGGGTCTGCAGTTCATACGGAGGGTCTCCAGTGGATGAAGTGGGGCGTTCAGCCCTTTCATTATAGTGTATGGCTGCCAGGTAGAGTCTTTCATTTTCGTAATGAGAACAAAAAAATGTAAATAATAGCAAAGGATGTACAAATTGTCATTAATTATAAGTAACTATGGTTTATTTTACCTGCACAACATTCCAAGAAATGGAAACACGACATTTTGTGGGGCAAAGCGTAGGATGGCGCTGTGGAAGGCCTTCAAAGGTGAAGTCTGGTGGTGGGGGCTGAGTTTCTCCACATCATTCAAAACCCTCTCGTTTGAGAGCACTTTCTCCAGCTTGTGAAAGGCCTGCGTTCCTAAGAATGAGAAAATCAGTCATATTTATTACTGTTATTATCAGGGCTGCACATAACTGGTGCGCACCCCCTGCCAAAAAAAGAGCACCGGATCATTTGAAAAAAAGGCGCATTGGCGCGCATACACAGAGAGAGAGAGAGAGAGAGAGAGAGAGAGAGAGAGAGAGAGAGAGAGAGAGAGAGAGAGAGAGAGAGAGAGAGAGAGAGAGATTTGCGAGTTGCATAAGAACTGGTAAGATAGCAGGGTTTCCCACACTAGGGCTGAAGTGGAATAGTCCATTTAGCTTAGGAACCTTCCTAATGGAGTGAAATGACCCGGAAGTCCCTCAGTGGCAGCCATGATAAGTGCCGTTCCAATTCTCTAGATCAGAGGTCGGCAACCCCTGGCACGCGTGCCACCAATGGCACCGTAACCAGTGGCACACTAGGAATAAGTGGAATAAGTGTGCAAAAATATTTACATTTTATTTTCGGATCCTGAACGAGACCGCCGCCAGAGCGCGTCTCCCCGTTACCTGCAGAAGGAAGCCATGCACGCAACGCAGCCCCGCTCTCTTTAACTCCAGGCGACTTTCTGCCGCTTTCCTCCGTAATGCAGTGCTGATAATTTCACCACAGAGGAAAGCACTTCACAAATTGCAGTACCCATAAGGAGCTGTACAAATGCCGCAGTTTTTGCGTGGCGATCGATATCGGCCGATACTCACTCTCTGCCGATCGATCGGTGCTCTCTAAAAAGGCCGATCGCGAGATGTAAAATACATGACACTTTTCTCTGTGCGCGGCAAAACAAGCTCGCCAAAATGGCTTCACCAGTCTGGCAGTATTTTAAGGTGTCCGAAAATGACAATAAAATAGCGGTGCAACGTGTGTGAAGCAGAAATCCTGCAGCTCCACCCGCTGTGACGGACCGGTGAGCGGAGCAAAACACACAAGAGTTAGACCTAACACACTTAGCTATTTGATCTACCTCTGGAACTAGTTATAAATATATTTATTCTTCACTGTCACTCATTACTGGATCAGTGAGCTGCATGAGATACTGACAGGCTGTCAGAGAGAGAGAGGGGGAGAGAGGAAAAGAGAGCGCTTCCGCTCATTTCCCCCGTGTTATTATCCAAAGTTAATGTAAACTTGAATAATGTAGGCTACTTCATTTGAATGTAACAATTATGTTGGTTGTTGTTTGTGGAAGCGCCAGTGAATGAGCCCCATTAACTGAGTTTTAAACATCACTTTAAATGGAAGATCCCCATAGGACCCGCCCACTCGATCGGATCGGCGATCGGAGCATCCCTAATGTAAGTTGCGCTGACAGGTCCACACACTGCTTCCCCGCAGCGAGGCTCTCCCCCCCCGTTGATAATTCACGATCGTCGGCACGCTGATAATTTTTTTTAAATGGCACTTCATATCAAAAAGGTTGCCGACCCCTGCTCTAGATGAAAGGAAAGGAGGTTTCAAACTTCCTTTATAACCTCCTTTAGCTTAGGAACCACTGGACCTCCCTTGACGAAAGGAGAGGAGAAAATGCTGCCCCACAATGCCTTGCGGCCGCGGCATTTGCCGTCACACAACAGTCGGCCGTTCACGGAAACAACCGATTATGAACGAGAAATGATATCATGAAAGTTACGGTGCTTATTAAGCATTTTAAAACGTATGTGGTAACTTGCCAAAGTGCTTTGTTTTGAACGTTCATCAGTATTATAATCAAAAAGAGAAATATGAACGTTAGTTTTTACTGAAATGATCAAATAAAGTCAACATTTCACAGTCTTTACTGAGCTGTGTGGGGTTTGTTCAACTTTTAAAAGATGTTTGAATGGTGATATACACAGTGATAGATGTTAAGGACTAATGTTTATAATAAATACATTTGTATTGATTTTAAGATCTTTTCATACAATCATACGTATTGGGATCATTTGTATTAATGTGGACCGGAGGGAGAGGGTGACGAGCATAAGTTTCACTTTCCTTTCTTATTTCAATTCCAACTTTGGTCATGAAGAATATGTTTCTCTGTTGTCCCCGTTCATAAAGCATAAAACAACAGCATCAGAGCACGGTGCAGAGTCTCTAGATGAGTTTACAGTAGTCCCTCGTTCTTATTAAACATCCATGTTGTAGTCCGCTGTATAGAAAACTGTAGTTTCCATAGTTTCCCCACAGCAGCAGACGCACATTTATGACGTCCGCTGGCGCATCATAAACACGTTGGATAGTGAAAGTGCAGTCGGATTCTCTAAAGTACCACAGTCTCTTCTCCTAAGTCCTTTTGAATTCTCCGGTGAGGAGAATCCCTTAACCCCATGACGTTTCACACAGAGGTCAAGGAATAGACGATAGGGTTAGACGTTAGGAGCTGATCTTTGGATTATCCGACCCCAACCATAGACTTTACTTGGGCGGGCCGCCCAGGTATATTAACGGCCGCCAAAGTATAATTCACGAGCCATTTAGGTTTAATTTGTTTTAATCTGTCCGCGAGCACGACGGCAGCTGCGATCCCTCGCTCTACCCCTCGCTATCGCGTGAAGGGTCTGCTTTATGCGCTCCGCACAGTAACCCTGCTGCGAGGTTCATGAGCCCCCCCCCCCCCCCCCCCCATAAAGTCAAGTACCCCTCAAAAGGTCCGGTTTATTTCATTTTAAGGATGCGCACCAAGCAACATCTCCAGGTGCTCCTTTGAGAACCAAAAAAGTGATCTGCACCCCTGGTTCTTATGTATATTTGAAATGTTCATGCTGTGTCTGACAACAACCCTTTATTGGTCGTCCCTTACAAATATTTAAAGAGGAACGTGAACCACATACCTGCTGCCAGCCATTCTCCTTTACCCCTGGTTACGGGCAATGGATGAAGGCATTTGGGGAACAGGGGGTCCTCATGACCCTGCACATGGTTCAGGATGGACGTCCATTTGGCCACTCTCTCAGGCCCGGTGGTGGAAGTTGCTGCAGTCCAGTATATATGCTTTCTGATACTCTTCAACCACTCTCGAAGCTGCTCGCAGTCCCTCTTCTTTGCAGCCTTGAGCAGTTGTTTAGAAATCCCTAAAAATACAATTAACATGTCGTTAATACACATATACATTGACTCAAAATATTATTTCATTTCTGTGATCGTAGGGTTTATGTCTAAATAAATGTGTTAATTAATTTAAATTGTGTCATTGCATTACAATAAATGTTAGAGAACAAATGATGATATCAGAATTTTCTTTGAGACAAAGCGTTTGTGGTCGTGTTGTATCTTTGTTTTTATCATTAAACATACCTTTCTCTATGTGCCCGACATCATAGAGCTGGGTGACGCTGCTTTCCCTGAGGAATTCCTGAATTTGTCGATGTCGGTCTGTGACAATACAGTCCGGAGTCACACCACGTTCCTTCAACCACTCCAGACTCCTTTTCAGGCCCTCTTTCTCCATGTGTTTGCTTCCGCCAACCTCATTGCTCTGTCAGGACACATACAAATAAACATTGATATGTGCATTTTAATGAATACATACAAAACAGTGTTGAAAAAACACCTCACTAAAAATGTAATTTCATCCAACTTACCTGAACCAACTGCAGGTCAACGACTTTGTTGTTCTTGAGGTCCATCAAAGTGTAGCTGCCAAACTTTGTGCCTGTGAAAAGATGTTTTACAATCTTTACATTTTTCAGACACTGTCAATTTAACAATCCCACATAATCCAACCCCTTTCTGAAATGTAAAATGTCAATAATATATAAATATTATATACCTGGAGAGACAGCCTTCATATCTCCACCAACGATCACCTTCTCCTCTTCACGGAGCTTCCGCAGCATGTCTTCCTGTGAGGTTTTCCAGTAAGATACGATCGCTGGCTCGATGAACATCCTGGCATGCCTTCGAAAAGTGTTGTATTTAAAGAGCTGCATGTTCATTGCTTTGAAGACCTAATGGTGGTTTAAAAAAATAGCAAGAATACATTTTAATCTAAAATATCGCCTGTAGATTCAACACAATTAGTTTGCATATTCAACCAATAATAACACATATAGCTTATATATCACACAAAGCGTAATGGAAATAAAATGTTTGTTATGGGAACCGGGGGTCGCTGGGCAACGAAACTCACGCACTCTTAGCAATGGTGACAAACCAACGAGAGGGGGATATGAAAAAGATTAGTGGCTACAAACAGTCACGCCATTGAGGGGACCCTGGAAAGTGCAAATGAGATGCCCTTTTTTAAAAACATGTTAGCATGGGTGCTTACTCTACAGCAGGGGTCTCAAACTCAAGGCCCGGGGGCCAAATCCGGCCCGCGACTTCATTTTATGTGGCCCCGCAAGAGCTTGCAAAGAATATAATACGTTTATTATACGGTTACATGCCACTTTACAGAAGCAGGTTGCCCATAAACTACATGTCCCACAATGCATCTCGTTTTGTGACATGCGCACTGAAGAGAGTTGCAATTATTTGCCCTGGACTTCTGCTTTCAGACGTAGTTAATTACTAAGTTATTATCCTATCCGATAATAATCCAATTCAGAGACAATAATGTAATATAATACATTATTTTATATATATATAATATATTTATATAGTTACAACCGGCCCTTTGAGTGCAACCTTTATGCGAATGTGGCCCGCGATGAAATTGAGTTTGACACCCCTACTCTACAGTGACCCATTCACACCTCTTCTCTCTCTTCTTCTTATTCAACAACATTATTTGCATTTTCAACTATTAAAATGTTCATTTACCTTTCCAAGTTTGTAGAAAGATACCCCGTTGACGTACGTTGCAGCTGATAGCTGCAGGTTTCCAGCTGGAGTACTCCCCAGAATAGGCTGGCTATTCCAATGTCTCGCAAACTGACAATGGGGGCAGAGCTGCTGCACTGATATGAATGTACCCATCTTTGTGGTTTGTACATCACACAAACACCTGCACACAGGACACACTTCAAAAAGCTCCATGAGGCAGGTCTCATACACTATGTATGTGTTGATCTTATGGGGGGGTTTTGGTGCTTGAACGCTGAAATAAAAAAAGAGATGTTATGAGCCATCACACAGAAATGTAAATTATGTATGTCGTCTACAGAAAATTATACTTGACATTTTTTAAGGGTTAGACCGTTAAGTCTCAAAGTGTTTGGTGATGTGGACTTGTATTGCTTTAGAGCGGTTTTGTGCTTCCCTAGCAATCTTGGAATGATGTACAACAAAAACACAATACATAGACCCATAGGGATATTTTAGTAACTCACAACATGTCTGTTGTTTCTGTCTCATCTGCTATTGACTCTGTTGGATCATAGGTAGGATCCTGCGAGTCATCAATATCCATAGTAGGGATTCCCTCAAATGGATCCTCGTCTTCCTCCTCAGAGTCTACACTGGACCTTTTTGATGGTCTCTCTATGGGGTCGGTTGGTAAATCTGGCAGGGGCGCTTCCAACGGAACAGTTTTCGTGCCTACACCAATGTTTCTGTGGGAAGCTTGAGCCTGGACAGCTGTAACACAATGGTATTTCCCCCGAAAAATAAGATAAAACTAATAAACAATATTTACAAGCACACAAAAAACATTTGTAAAACGGGCTTCTTACCTTTACTTCGAGAGTGAGTACGAAGAGTCCTCGAGGAAAGCTGTGTCCTAACAGAACGCTGCGGTGGGGGGTCAGTCTGACAGGCAGCATCCACCTTTATACGAGGTATATGGCTGATATCTTTTGATGTGCTGGCCTGTATAGAACAAACAGAGTTATATTCAGGATGAGAACATTGTATTTGAATAATTATAGTCTGAAATCCCCAAAACGTTATAAAAGATAGCGCTACAAAAACAGATTTGAGCTATAGAGAGCTGGGTTACTCGGAACTCAATAGGAGACGTAATACTTGTGTTATTGGCTATAGTGGCTTTATAGCCGTTACAGCACTATGTCTGAACATGTTAGCAAATGCGTGATAACTTCAATAAAAGCAAAGAGTGCTGGGCTTACAAAATAAAAGGTTACAAAAAGTTATAAAACACTCAACCGATTCCTGTCGAGGCTACGTTAATAAGGCAAAGCTACATGCACGCTAACTAGCCTATAGCAAATATTAATATGGAAAAACTTACAGCTTCCGAATTCGGGTCCCGGATGGTTGGAATTGACCCAGTCTTTAGCCTTAGTTTGGTGGCAAATCCACTTTTGACTTGACGTAAGTTAATAAACAAGTCCGCCGTAAAATGTTTTGAACACACAGCCATACATTTGTTCGGGTATTCTGGCACATTCCCGTTGTAAATGAAGTCCATCCACAGTTTCTTGTCTTTTTCCGAAGTTGGCATTGAATGCAGTCCCTTGTCCGGATAGTGGCAGCCAACAACATAACAAGGTTTGGCTGTCTTATACATCTTGTTTGTAAGAGCCATAGCTGTATAATAAGAACGGTAAGAGCGAATGTTCTTCTTCTTCTCTTCGTTTTTGGCGGATTGCAAACAACTTAAAAGGTGCATACCGCCACCTACTGTACATGAGTATGAATCATCATATCTTACCAACTCTTTAACCTATGATCTAATAAAAATAAATAAATAAATCAACAAACAACATGAAATAAATAAAACAAAAATAAATAAAAATCTATGTTCTTTCTTGACCTAATGTTAAATTATTTTTCCTACCCCAGTTTCACTCAAGAATGTAAACAGTGCCTTTCTGGTAGCTCTCACTCTCTCTCCTTTTGTTCCCAAAACACCAACCACACTCCATTCCCTCTCTGCCTCAAAAACGTTATCCTTTAGTTTGTCTCTTTCAGCTTTAAAGATGTCACAATGTAACAAGATATGTTCCACATCTTCTTTTACTCCACAGCTCCCACACTTGTCACTGTCACTTTTCCCCATGACATACAGAGTACCATTCAATGCTGTGTGATTTATTCTGAGTCTAGCGATGGTGATTTCCTCCCTTCTGTTTCTTTCTTTATAAATATGAATTGTAATTGTCTTTTGTACTTTGTGATATTCTTTGCCTTTCTGGTCTTCCTCCCACCTTTTCTGCCAGATCTCCATCCCTTTCTTCTTAATCACTGCTTTTCCTTCTCCTTCTCCAAGTTGAACTGGTAATGTTATTTCCTTTTGTAGTGCACTTTTTGTTCATTTATCAGCACACTCGTTCCCTTTCACCCCCTCATGTGCAGGCACCCAACAGAACTGCAGATCTATGCCGCCTCTGTGAAGTCTTAACAGGCTATGATTCAGTTCTATGAGAATGTCTTCTCTGACAGTTGTTGTTGATTGTATGCTTTGTAAACTGGATAATGAATCTGTGCACATCACCACCCTATCTGGTCTGACCTCTTCAACCCACTGTAATCCTATTATTACAGCAAGCATTTCTGCTGTGTACAATTGATCAGACGCTCTTTTTGAGATAGATATTTTAAAGTCTGGGATGTATATACCAACTCCAACACACTCTTCCTTGTTCTTAGAACCATCTGTGTACATTTGTAGGTAATTGTAATACTTTTCATTCAGATACATACTTGTTTTAATTCCCACTTAATTTACTTGCCACTCTTTTTTCCTTTCTACAATACTCATATCTATTTTAGCTTCTGGGAAAAGCCCTGGAGGAACACTGCTAAATGGGGTTGCTTTAGCAAACGTGATATTCTCCACTCCATATGCCCTCGTTCTCTCCTTACTCGTCCAGCCAAACCCACGTCCCTGGAATTTTGCATATTCCCAGCAATCCTGTAATATTCTGTTTGAAATATTTTCTTCTCCACTTCCTTGTAGCCTGACCCAGTATGACAGAGCAAGTTTCTCTCTTCTGATCTCCAGAGGTGTTTCTCCTGCTTCTATCAGAACTGCATTGATAGGGGATGACTTTATCGCTCCAATACACAACCGCAATGCTTTATATTGTATTCTATCCATTTTTAAAAGCGATGTTTTTGCTGCTGCTCCATACACTATACAACCATAGTCTATTGTGGACCTCATAATTGATCTGTAAATGTCTATTAATGCTTGTTTGTCTGCGCCCCAGTTGCATCCAGCTACAGCTCGCAATAAATGTAATACTTTTTTGCATTTTGTTTCCACTTGTTTAATATGCATTTTCCATGTATATTTGCTATCAAACCACAGTCCTAGGTATTTGAACTCATTCACCTTTGTCATTGGACGATCATATAGTGTTAGCTGTTGGCCATCAATCTTGCGTTTGTTTGTGAATACCATGTAGCATGACTTGCTTTCTGACATTTTGAATCCCCAGTTATATGACCACCTCTCCACTTTTTTAATCGCTCTAGCTATATTCTCCATTACGTATGGGGCATTTCTTCCCCTCATCCAAATAGCCCCATCATCTGCGTATAGAGCCGATTGAATGCATGTGTCTAAACATGTAAATATATCATTAACCATGATGTTAAATAATAGTGGACTGACTGCACTCCCTTGGGGGATACCATTTTCTATTTCAAAATAATTGGAAATATCTGCTCCAACCTTTACTCTAAATGTCCTGTCTGTTAAAAAGGCCCTTACCCAATTGTACATTCTCCCTCCAATACCCATTCTACTCAATTTGATCAGTAACCCATCCCTCCACATACAGTCATACGCCTTTTCAATGTCAAAGTACACTATTGCCCTTATCTCTTTCATTTTCAGTGTTTTTTCCACATCATTACTCACTCTTACTAAAGCATCTATTGTGGACCGCCCTTTACGAAATCCGCTCTGAAAACGACTCAGCAGCCCTTTCTGCTCCAGTACATGTGAGAGCCTACGGACAATGACCTTTTCCATCCATTTACATAGGTGTGATGTAAGAGCTATTGGTCTGTAGTTACTAGGGTTAGCTGTATCTTTCCCTGGCTTATTGAATGGTAGCACGACTGCTGTTTTCCACAAACAGTATTTAATTGTATTTCACTGTACAATATTAAACCTTACATTCTGTTCTTTCAACTGCTATATTTTATTCAAATGTATCGTACTCTGTTTCATTTGCACTATTTTTATTTTTGCATTATTCACATTATATAGTTTATGTCCTATATATGATATGTTGCATTGTTGGAGCTCGAGACCTAAGATTTCCATTGCCATAACTACACTGTAGCTGCTCTGCATATGATAATAAAACCCCTTGAATCTTGAATCTTTTGTGGGTTTCTTTAGTTTGGTTTACTTTCTAACCTTATGCTCCACTTGAGAGCCGACAACAAGTCAAAGAAAAACATGAACATTTTTCTTTGTTTTTTTTTATTTAAAAGTTTGATTTACTTTCTAATTGTATGCTCCACTTAGGAGCGTACAACACAGTAAAACATGAAAATGTGTTTTTTTCCCCCCGACCCCCTACACACACATACACAGCTCACAGAAAGGTATGTCATCTTTATTTTGTTAAAGACTTTCTATGGCAGGTTCAGCCACTGAGCTGATGTGCCAACAAGCTGCAAAACATTATCAGGCAGCTTGTGATCATAGCGAGCCTCACCAGACAGCTTCAGACCATATCGCACATACAGGATGGATTTAAGGGTCTGCAAGAACATCCGATTTCTAAATTGGCTTTTTACCACACTCATCTGGCTGAATAATCTCTCAACTTCAGCATTCAAGTGTGGCAAGGACAGCACAGACACAGCAGCCATGGCAAGTTCCTGAAATGGGTTGATATCAGCTGTATCCCTGAATACCAAAACCTCACTCCAGAAGCCCACTGTGTTTTTTGTTTGTTTCATTCCACTTTCTCAGATGGATGGCACGCCATTGCTGGACAATCTTGTCTATCTCTGCAGGAGAGTAGCCAAGGAGCTGAAAATATAAAAGTTGACCATGAAAAATATGTAAACTAACTGACAAATAAAACACTATTGACGGGCTAAATTACAGCTAACACAATATAAAAGTGGGATATTATTTAGATTTAGTGTGCAAGAATGACATACTAAATTAAATATGTAAAAAAAACTGTTTTTTTTAGTTCTATATATCATTACATGGTACTATGACGTTTTACAAAAAAGACATGTTTTAATGAAAGACACTTAATTTATAGCATAATAAGAATAGAAGAATAATTTTAGCAGTTTTCGTATCACTTTTTGTCCATGAACTAGGAGCTGTAATAGTACTGGCCAGAGCCGTATACGTCATCGTGACGTAGGTTGTAAACACGGAAGTCGATTCTGAACGTGTGGCTAACACATTTTAGCTAGCAGCAGTTCGTTTGTCGCTTTTGTGATACATATACGCGGTACTGTGAGTAAACCTGACTCATGCGTTGAACAACAACACTGCGTATATTAACAGTATTAAATAATATTAAGAGTATTAACTTAACACCAATGGTGACGAGGTAGGAGCACGCGCAGGCTGTTAGCAGTGAAGCTAACATGTCAAAGAGTTATCCCACACCGGTTTACTGTCATGCTGCACGAGGAGACTTCCGGGATGTTTACGATCCGGCGGAGGACTCTTTCCTCCTGATTGACGCTCTGGAGAAGGACGCAGAGAAGCTGCAGCTGATGAGGTCAGACACAGCGCACCTGAACGCATCACATGTGCAGTGCAGGCTATGGTGCAGTGGTGGAAAGTCACTAAGTGCATGGATAAGGGAATAAATCGTTGTTTAGAGTTTTACACAAAGGAGCAAAACAGTAAAGTCCTGCTGTGCATCGAATGAAATATATAATAGTGGTCTCAAAGGACATTTCCCTGCAGAATCACTACTTTAAAAACATTTGAATACATTTTGCTGATACGACTTTTACTTGCAGTTGAGTAAATATTAATACAGTCAGAGGTGGGAAGTACATTTACTCAAGTAATGTACTTAAGTACAATTTTGAGGTACTTGAGTTTTACTTGAATATGTCCATTTGATGCTACATTTTACATCTACTCCACTACATTTAAAAGGGAAACATTTTACAACAGCTTTAGCTTCTTTTAACAAAATGCATCTCTAAAAGAAAATTCAATTAGTGGACTAACTGTTCACTAAAGAGTCAAATTATTTAAATATTTTACAAAAAGTCAATCAGAACTTTGTTTCTCTACAACAGTCAAATGCTACTTGATGCAACAATATCATGTGGAAATGTCATATATATATATAATTATATACACACAAAGGCCATTTTTCTGATGATTACTTTTACTTTTTATACTTTAAGCACATTTTGCTGATAATACTTTTGTACTTTTACATAAGTAAGATTTTGAATGCAGGACTTTTACTTGTAATGAAGTATTTTGACAGTAATGTATAGGACCTATACATTATTGTCAAAATTGTTGAGTAAAAGTACCTAATACTATAGGTACTTTTACTCGAGGACAGCATCTGAATACTTATTCCACCACTGAAAACAATGTTGTACTTGTATACTCACCATCATGTTTATAGTATATTTAAGTACAGCAG